TTTTTTTTTTTTTTTTTTTTTTTAATTTTGTATGACTTTTTACGTCGGACCTTGGCATGTCCGACGTAAATTTACGTCGGTTTTCGTGTCACGACGTAAAATTTACGTCTCCCGCTTTTATGTCGGACGTTTCTCTAACGTAAAAACCCCTAAATAACCGATGTAAAATGCTTATTTTGTACTAGTAGACTTATTATTTTGACATTTTTTTATTTATTCCTAACCAAATCATTTAATTTTAATTTTAATTTTAAATAACAAATTTTTGATCCATTAATAAAATATTAACAATTAAATCAGATGACATTAGTTAACTATCTAAAATTATAAATTAACCGGAAATATTCTATGCACTTACCTTTAGCCCCACAAACCCATTTTTGAAATTTAGCCTTGCATAATTATCCTTTTTATTGGTATTTTAAACATTTTTATAAGTTCTTCATCCACTTCCATTATTTTATTTGGTTGGAAACTAACTACGTAATCCTATGTTACTTTTCACAAATTCACTAAGAAACATTTTTTTTAATATTATAATACCACTAAAAGAAAAATTATGTGTGCTTAACTATTTTTTAAATAACGCTCACATATTTGCACACAAAAGTTATATGAGACCAAATATTTTACATGATTAAAATTAAAATATGTTTATTTTTTATACTAAAATCAAAGTTAAATTTAATAAAATTTAATAGTAGAGATTAAACAAATGGTTTTAAGTTTTACAGAATTAAAAAATAAAGATTTTTTTTTATAAAATATAAAATAAAAAATTATTCTAGACTAAAAATATATTTAAATTTAAAATTAATATATTTATTGTCAGATTATGTAATTAAATACGTGTATTTTAATTAAATTTATTAATTATTATAAAATATGCTACAAAAATAAAGTAATTTTACTATTGAAAAAAATTGTTCAGAGTGTCACCGAATGCTTGACGACACGTCTCTATCTCATAATATTGAGAGTTATTGCATTTTCTTGAACAAAACAGTGCAGATTCATATTATTAATTTAGTTGTATTTAGTAAGATTTATTGTATAATTTAGTAGCAATTAATAGTATCAGTATAATATAGTATACTGTATTGATATTAATAAATTTCATTTCCGTGCATTTAATTTTGTCAACGGAAATAGAAGTTGCCCAGTTTACCTTCAGCACGCATCTCGTGACGTCACCCTCATACTTTTATATAAAATAAAATAAATTAAAAACAATTGAAAATATAACAATAAAATTATGTGATGGACAGAGATTCTCCGATGGAACCGTCTTTGGGTGAAAAAAATCTGATGCATCCCATATCACTCTATACTGAACTCACTGATAATAAGAAATCGGTAGATTTTTTTATTTTCACAAACATTTTTATTTGAGACAATTTTATTAAACTAATATAATTATAATAAATGTAATAAATTTTTTTAAATCAGTCCATTATGTCATTTAAGTTTATTAAATGTGAATGAAACTTATTTTATCATTTTTTCATTTAAGTGCGTAAAGTTATTACGTTTAAAATTTTAACCAAACAAATACATATCACTATGAACATATTTTAAAAAAGAAAAATGTTAGATACTTACGAACGGACCGAAATTTGTTCTGAATTATTAAAAAATTGATTCAATTTTATTAAAAAAGTATTAATATTATAATTATTTACAGACCAATTTGAAATATCATTCAAAGATATAATGATCCTTTTAGAAAAGATAGTTATTTAACAATGAAGAAAATATATAAATTTTTTAAGAGTGTGATAGTTGAAATAATATATTTTATCATTGTAATTTTATAAGTAAAATGTGTCAGAATTACTGAAAGTTGCTTAACTTTATTCGGCTTCTTCATGACTAACCTCAGTCTGATTCAATGAATAGTAAAAAAGCATAAATTGTTTGGGCAAGCAAGACAAGAACAGCGTGTGAGACCGAGGATCACATTCCTCCAATAAGATGGGAATCTTACCGTAGGCGACGCAGGGGGTAAGTGTGGACGTTAGCACAGAGTGCAGAAACTCGAGTGGTGCAATGTGTTCACTGAGTGACAGAGCGAGGTAAGAGTTGGTGGTGTGTGTGTGACTCAGACACTTCGTGGGTGACTAAGGCACTTCCTGACCTCTCCCTCTTCTTCCCTTTATCTTCATTCTCACTCACCCACTCCATTCTATTTCTATTCTCCACACACTCTCTCATCATTCTCTCTCTCTTTCTCCCACGAGCGCCATGGCGCTGCACTCCGTGTCTTCCGTCTCTCACGTGCTGCGCCTCTGTGAGCCCTTCCCTTCCATCCACAACGCTCACGTGCTCCACGACCTTGCGCCACTCCGCCACAAGTCCAAGCGCCGCAGCCGCAGATTGACGCCGTTTCCCGCTCCCTCGCTGCTCCGTCATTCCTCCGTCAAGGCCGTTCTCCACCTTGACCGCTCTGCCGACAACCGCCTCCATCATTCGCCTGCTTCCTCTTCTTCCGATTCCAAGCCACAGGTCTTGTTTCTTCCGGACATTTTCTTTCTCATTTTTTAAGTGTTTTTCTGTTTTGGTAGAAGTTGTGGATCGGAGGATAGGACTGTAGAAGAGAACTAGAACACTCTTGAATTTGTTAGTGTTAATCGCGTCAACGCAACACTGTAAAAAGTCTCACGAGATGATGAATCTGCTGAAGTCAAATTAATAAGTTGAACGAAGAGAGGAGAACGACACGATCCGAGTTCATTTATTATACTTTACTCTCTACACTTTGAAGAAGCTAGTTCTACATAAACATTCAGCTGGCAGGGAAATGTTTTTGTCAAGCGAATTTCCAAGACCTACTCACTCTTCATTTTGATGAGTAAGAGTGTGAGGTAGAACTTAGATTTTCTTTTTTTAATACTCAGAAATAGTTCAGAACCTAGTTTGGATGTAACTATGTCTTATTCTGGAAAGGGAATGGTAAAGGAAACTAGAGAGATCAAGTTCACGATTGGATGCCTTCAACTCCTAAAGGCAAACAACCAAAGAAAAATCAACCACCAAGGTGAAAGCAAGGAATGAAGGCTCCCCCTACGCAATTAACCGCCATCCTTGGATATTGGAATTAAGATTCGGACTCTCTGTTTACTATTATTTAAACGAAGTATATTCTGCCCAAAACCTTATATAAGAAAACTCCCCAACTTGCCCAATCATAAACTTTTTCAAATCCAAAGCACACTTTCTTTTCCTTGTTATATCTTCCGCAACTTCACTAGTTAAGAAAACTGTATCTAAATTCTAAAATTTGTCTGCCAGCAATGAAGGCACCTTGATTGTTAGAAATTGTATCAAAAGAAACCTAGGGGGACCCTGGTGATCAGTTTGTATGAGCTAGTTACATGACTAATTGGCCGTTTACAATCATCCTTTACATCGTTGGATATATCCTTCAATGGCACTGCTGTCATGCATGTATAGTTGAATATCATGCCATTTGGTTAAAACTATCCAACACCCTATGAAGTTTATCTTTTAAGAAATTCCAATAACGTGGGAAGAAGGCTATAGTGCAACTGCCAGGTCCTAGAGTTTACAGATTATGAGAATTTTTTTATACATTATTAAGGAAATAAGGATTGCATTCTACAATATCAGATTACCAAATGAATTTCTTTTTGTATTCAATTTTTTTAGAAATGTATTGGAGACCATAATCATATCAGATGTAGAATGTAATAAGCTACCAGTTGCGTGAGCTTTTTTAAACCTTCCCTTGTTTGTTCGTTCTTTCAATTTTTGTTTAAACGACGCCTTAGCAAATGTACAACAGAACAAGTGTCATTTGGTTGACGACTTTAAATGTGAGTATCATTTAATTGTTTTATGAATGTATACAATTTCTTAATGACTTTGGGGGTTCTTAATCCAATCCATATGTAAAGTGGTAGCAATTGGTTGTACTTTTGAATGTACCCTTGTTTGTTTGGTTTTTCGGTGTGCTTTTGGGCATTTGATCCTTTGTATCTGGAAGCCACATTGGACCATGAAAAATCTGAGTATAGTTTGGTAGATCCATTTAAGCCTGTAAGGGAATAAAGCTCTCCCGATGCCTATTTTTTCCATGCACAAGACTCAACCAAACTCATTACCACTTGAACCAACAGGCGTTGGTCCACTTTCAATTTTGTTTAAATGATGCTTTAGCAAAAAGACAACTGAACTAGTATCATCTGGTTTAAGTATGAATTTTATTTAACTATTTTATGAAACTTCATAAATCCTAAATAAACTTGAATAGGAAATGAATTTCACATCTTTTTTCTTGTATTATTTCAGTTTGTAATTATCACTTTGCATTGCAATTAATTTAAAGGTTGGCCCTGGTCTAATGTACAAGATTCCCACCATTATGGGGTCTGAGTTATTTTGTAACATCATTCCTCCAATGCTTAGCTAATCAACTGTTCAATATTGTGGGCATGTAATCTGCAAGATAACTTGTTGAGTGATTCCAGTCACTTGTTGGACAGGTTGCAAACTTGGAGGACATAATATCAGAGAGAGGAGCCTGTGGCGTTGGATTCATTGCCAATTTGGAGAATAAGGGATCACATGAGATTGTCAAGAATGCTTTAAATGCTTTAAGTTGTATGGAACATCGTGGTGGCTGTGGAGCAGATAATGACTCTGGTGATGGTTCAGGGCTGATGACTGCAGTTCCATGGGATCTATTTGATAATTGGGCCAGCAAGCAAGGGATTTCTTCCTTTGATAAGTTGCACACTGGTGTTGGAATGGTCTTCTTACCCAAAGATGCAAAACTTCTCAATGAGGCAAAGAAAGGTAATACTGTTCTTAATTTGAAGGTTGAGCTCCAATAATGTCCTCCTTTTGTGGTTTCCCTGAGATAAGCATGTTTAATTGTTTGTGATAAATTTTGTTGACTCCTGTCACATATTGCATGCTGTGTGATTCTCTCCCCCTTTTTTAAAGGGAAGTTTTCTTATTTCTCATTGATCTAGTATGCTATTACGTAATTTGCCTAGTTATTGACATGCCATACAAGCCTTTGAACTACAAGCTTTATAGAACTTATAGTTGAAGCATATGTTTCAATTAAGACATTGAAGAAAACAAATGATAAGATTAGGCATATCGTAAAATATTTGTTGTTGTCATCATGCTTTGTATATGTACTATTTGATGTCTTTACTTTATTGTGTAACTTAGTATTTCAGTATCATTTCTGCATTGAAGATGAACTGAATTTCTTTGGGCTTTATTTGCGTTGTTAAACATGTAGTTGTTTTAAACCTTAAGTTTATCTTGTGTGATGCTATGCATTAACCTCTGGGTCATATTTCTTCCAATATACTGGTTCAGCTTGTTATGACTAATGAATGTCTTAAAAAAAGTCAATTTAAGTTGAAGTTGACACCTTTTATCTTGTTGAATTTTACTAGAACAATATATTATGCACAATACACAAATGGAGGGAGTGGGCATATTAAATAGTTTAGTTTCAACTATAATTCTTGTTTCCAAATTTACTAATATGTGGTTATTTTTGTTGTCTAGATATTACAATTTACACCTGACCTGCTATCAATGTTTTGTAATGGCCTTGATTATTTATGGTTTTAGTTTTAAAAAAATGTGAGCTCTTAGGAGTATATTTACTTGTTTTGTCTAGAGAGTTCCATTGGCAGACTTGCAAAGAGATCCTTTATTTTGATTTCTTTGCTTGCTTTTTATTCACTGTATTGTTTTTGTGGCTTTCTATAGGGAGGATATCTTAATTTTTCTTTTCTATTTGCTCATTCCTAGTCATAACAGCGTTTCTTCCATTACCCAGAAGCTAGAAATCTATGCAATTTTTTTCATACAAGATGCAGGGAAAAAGGTTGAAAAGGAAACCAAATATGAAAGGATTTGATATTTTCTTGCAACTATAATGAACTGGAAGGAGAAACAAATTAATTCATTAGTGTTTTCAATACTTGGTTATATACATGTTAGAATAGTGGAAATAACTTGTCTAAACAAATTTCATAAAATGTGATCACAAATCAGAAGTTAAGATGTTCATAAAGACAACAATTGAAGAAATAATATGTATAGGTTCACAACAGCAAAAAAAATGCATATTGGTAAAAATGAAATCTATTAGCAAAACATGAAATAGTTAATGATTTTAATGCTTAAAGGGCCACAAGAGAACCAAAATTTGAGGCAGCTCTACCTCCGTACCTCGTTTATAGCTCTCTCCTCCTAAGGGCAGCTCCATCATCTAGTGGGGAACCCTTTCCTCCCAAGTCAAGTCATATACATATAATTTCATCTCATCTCATTTGGAGCAGCATCATTTTGTTGATAATCCTTTCCATCTAATGAATAATCCTTTCCTCATTCCATCCAATGAATAGTCCTTTCCTTTCAGGATATAACTAAGTGCACCCATATTAGATTTGCAGAGTTTGAGAAAATGAAATTGTATTGATCTGTGAAGAATGTACAAGATGATTGAGTCACTGACTTACAACCCTATATATACTGTCAGGACTAAGAGTCAGTTATAACTGTCTGACAGTGACAGTTATGACTGACAATGACAGATACAAAGAGCACTACACGTATCAAAACCATTTCACATGATGAAACTATCAACATCATACTTTTCAAATTCAACCTTTCATAAAAGTTTTTATTTCAACCATATACACCAAAGAACTGCAAGTTGAGAGCAACCCAAAAGCTTTTTGGCATCTGTGGCAGTGCAAAGTCCTTAGAAATTAATGCACAAGAACTGCTGAATATCCTTGGGTCAGACCCAATATTCTTTGAAAATGCCAAAGTTTTTCCAAAGAATGCAAGCTTCTTAACAATGGAAGGACAAATGAGAGCCATTTTCAGAGCTTGATTTGCCCATTACACAATAGTTAGTATACAAAGCAGTTACGGGCCTACAAATTTGAAGTAAATCATTGTATTAGAGGGTAATTAGATAGACCTCCCTTGAGGTTAGCGATAATTATGCCTAGGCCTGATTGCTTTAGAAATTACACCAACCTACCTTGCGCATTCCTTGCTATTTTATTTTTAAGGGTACCATGTGTATGGTTTATACACCAAAAACAATAGAGGTATGAGTAATTTTAAAGAAAGTAATGGGTGTTAATGTGTTAAAGAATAAGAATAATATTTAAAACAAGGTAAGCAAATATAGTTTCTAAATTAAGTAGGGTCTAAATGTAATCTCTGCTAATCTCAAGGGAAGTTAGTGTAATTAATAGTTATCCAGATGTATGAATGCTATCAAGAACAGTAGTCCAAACAAAGGATTTGACATTGGGGGGAGCACATGATTTCCAAATAGACTTATCCAGGAGGAAAAAAGCATTATTGTGAAACAAAGTGTTTATGCTAGGCCCATTTCACAAGTGTGCAATAGGAAAGGGAAAATGAAAAGGATGATAAGCCTTGAGATAAAGGCCTGCAAGTGTATGAGAGCAGGAAAAAGTTTGCACAAGAAGAAATGGATGGGGGAGGGGCACACGAGGTGAGCATGTTTATTGCTCTTCTATGGTGCTTCTCATGGGCAAACACGAGGTAATGTTTTAATGAACTATTTTCATGGAGTAAGGGTCTATTTGCAGATTTCAGAAAGTTTCGGATTCAAAAGTTTGTGGCAGCTATTTCAATATGGGGGGGTAAAGTTTAGAGATGTCTTTAATTTCCCCATTTGTTTTGTGTCTCTATCGGTAATTCTGTGAGGAATTCTGTTTTCCTTTTTCTTGTTGTCAGTTCTTCTTTGAAGAAAAATAAATTTGTAAATGGCCATGGTCCTGTAACACTGGTGGTGTATCGTGTCTTTATAAATAAATATTCTGTGCATGATAAATGGTCAATTATGATATATTGGGTTTTATTCTGACATGTAAGGTTTGTGTTCTGACATGTATTTTTAATTTTTTGTTCAGTTATTGTAAATACTTTTCGGCAAGAAGGTCTTGAGGTTCTTGGTTGGAGGCCTGTCCCTGTAAATACTTCTGTAGTAGGTTATTATGCGAAGGAGACCATGCCCAATATACAGCAGGTATTTGTTAAGATTGTGAAAGAAGAAAATGTTGATGACATTGAACGAGAACTGTACATCTGTCGAAAATTGATTGAAAAAGCAGTGAGCTCAGAAAGTTGGGGAAATGAGCTTTATTTCTGTTCTTTATCCAATCAAACCATAGTTTACAAGGGGATGCTTCGTTCAGAAGTGCTTGGGTTATTTTATTCTGACCTTCAAGATGATCTATACAAGTCCCCTTTTGCCATATATCATCGAAGGTACAGCACAAATACTAGTCCCAGGTGGCCTCTTGCACAACCAATGAGGCTTCTTGGTCATAATGGAGAGATCAACACCATACAGGTTGAGTTTTCTTTTTTGCATTCAAAATGTTTCTATAAGATTTTACTTTTGTTGGATTTTACTTTTTGTTTTGATTTTATACACTAATAGCGACATATTTGTGCAGGGGAACTTGAATTGGATGCAATCACGAGAACCATCATTGAAGTCACCTGTATGGCGAGGTCGTGAGAATGAAATTCGCCCATACGGAAATCCGAAGGCATCAGACTCTGCAAATCTTGACAGTACTGCAGAAGTATGTGAATAACTGAATATAAAATTGTTAATCCCTTCAGTTTGCGTATCTTAATGACGATGATTCATTTGGAATTTATTGTTGAAATTTGAAAATACATGATCCTTGTTTTCTAATTTCTTATGGTTCCTATACTTGTAATGTTAACTTTTTTTTTTCTTCCAGATTCTGTCTCATAATCCAATGGTTTAAAATTTCAATAGATCTAAGTTATTTGTTAGTTATGCTCCTATTAACGCCCATGCTTTTGTTTGGACCAAGGTGCTAAATAGATACAAATGAAATTTTATAGATTCATAGGCCTTATATAACTATTTCGATCTTCTCCTTCTGTCTCTGTTGTGTTACTGGTGTTCAGAGACAAATTCATCCTATAATGTTGGAGTTGCTTTGAGGCTTTGGAAATGCCCTTCAGGCATTTTTGTGAAGCAATTAAAGGTTTTGTTCTTGAATCCTTTTTGTCCAATTATTATATGCTTCGGAAGGATAAAGTGGAGCAAGGTTTTATGATCCTACAATTTATATGTATAGTTCTGGTGTTATGGATGAAGATAATTTTTTTCTTTTTAGAACCTTTGGGTAAATTTCTTCCTTGCCATCTTGTAGACTTGTTTCGTTGACATTCATGTGAGTGATTTACCACTTATAAGTGAGTGAGCTCTTTAAATTTACTCTTCTTTTGTTCCCATGTTTGGTTTTCCTTTTCCATTTTATCTAGGATAATTTCTTATGCTTCTTTATTTGTATTATTCTTGTTTCACTTTAATGCATTTCTTCTTTTATCAAAGTAAAATATTGTTAAACAGAAAAATTGGAAGCAAAAAACTGATGATCCACATAACAATGCTTGCTCTGAGTTTATTTTGTTATTTTTCTTTTTACTGACTCCTCTCTTCTTAACTGTTTTGTTCCTTAAAAGTATACAAGTTCCTCTTTTGTATTGTTTTTTTGTTAACCTCTGTTTTGAGATTTTCTTTTGTTTTCCTTGTTATTATTCTTAGTTGTGTATCAAATTCTCTAGACTTGTGTTAATGGTCATGTTTATATCTTGATATCAATTGTCTACTATGGTTCAGTTATTGATAAGAAGTGGTCGAAGTCCTGAGGAAGCTATGATGATTCTTGTTCCAGAGGCTTACAAAAATCATCCAACTCTGTCAATCAAATATCCTGAGGTATTCTTTTTTTTTTTTTTTTTTCTAAATCCCCACTTGTTTTCACATGTTCAATCTAATTTATTTGTCCAAATAAGAAAAATATGTGCTGTCTGGCTTATCGTTTACAGTTAGTCATACTTCTGATTATTCCTTTTTGATTCTCAAATATTACAAAAATTTGCAAAGATGCATGGTTTAAGAACAACTTTTGTTGCTTGTAATAAGAGCTTGTCTTCCTTTGAATTCAAAAAAGGTGATTTTGTCAGATAATGGTAAATGGTGTCTGGGTGCAAAATGGGGATTGCTTGTGGGAAAGGTGGGATGGTGGTTAATGGGACAGTGCTATCTGACAATGGAAGTTTGTTCCAAGTGTTCGGGAGATATTGAGTTTGATTTCTTTTTATAAAGCATTAATATAGATAACTCAGCACCAGCATCACGTTGGAATTTAGGGTTGACAATAATGAAGTCGGTGACCTTTGATAACTGGCTCAATTTGTTGATGCCAGAGAAGAAAATTATCAAAATTGAGTTTATCTGAAACCATATGGGAGAAAGTGAGTGGCACTGGTGAAGAGGTTGGAGGCTGGTGGAATTGAAAAAACCATTGTTGATTATCTAAGCTCTTCAATTTCTGCATGGAAGTGTCCTTAATGTTGTTTTTACTTTTTAGGTGGTTGACTTCTATGACTACTACAAGGGTCAGATGGAAGCTTGGGATGGACCGGCCTTGCTTTTGTTCAGGTATAACTGCTTAAAAAAGAATCCAGAGAAACATGATTGCCTTGTTGGTCTATCAGTCTATCCTAATTCATGACATCACTAAGAATTGAAGAAGTAGCACTCAGCAAAACTTGGTCGTTATAAACTTACTGTAAATGAAAGCAGGATTTAGTGGTCCACATCTTTGTGTGTCTGGTGTTCTAAGTTCTTAGTGGAAGGGAGAGGGTGTGTTGTCCAAGATAACATTTCCAATGTGATAATTGATTTACAGTCACTTAATAACTTTTATAATTTCTTAAAAAAAAATTCTTTAATGAATTGATTGTTCTTGATATATGTTGTTTCACAATGTGATTCTTAATTTTAATGCTTATTGACTATAGTAGAATTTAATGGAGGTATTCAATGTGAATATAATATATGAAATTAGGAACGAATTTATTTTTAGTATATTTTGTTATGCTATTTCACTGCATCATGCAAATATTTACTGTTGTTTCTGCATATTCTTGAAAAATCACTCTGCTAATTTAATTTAATCATGTGTTGCTCATTTTCCTTAGCAAACCGTTATTCCATTGTTTAGTATTAAAGTATAGAGTATAGTATTTTACTCTAATATTTAGTAAATTTACCTGTAGTGAATAGGTATAGTGCTCTTCTATTTTGTTTTGTTTTTAATTTTTCCTGAAGTTGTTTTTCTGTGATTGTTGGTAATCCAATGATGTGTCACAGTGATGGGAAAACTGTTGGTGCATGCCTTGATCGTAATGGTCTTCGACCTGCTAGGTATTGGCGAACATCAGACAATATGGTCTATGTTGCCTCTGAGGTAAAGTCCCAAACTTTTATCCCTTGGTTGTATATAATATATATGGATAATATAATGTATGATGTCACTATTGAGATGTCAGTTCTACTCTATTGTATAATTCTAGAACTTTTAGGAGATGATGTTGTATAAAATATGCTGTCAAATACACTAAAACACACTCTTTTGAATATACTCATTATTATTGACTGACATTTATTGGAAAATACAAAAATTTGTAGGCCCCACTTCTCATTTAATGAGTTCCACTCATGGTTTCATAATTTCCAATTAATTTTGACCAATGATAGTGTGTGTTTCCAGCACTCCTGAAACATATTTATTTGACAGTTGGCATCTCTATTAATACTTATGTGCAGTAATGATAATTATGGTTTTGAAGCCACCAATTCAGTTTCATAACTTTATAAAGTTTCAATTATTGTATTTAAGATATTTTACCTTGTGTCATTCACTTTTAGGTTGGTGTTGTGCCAGTGGATGAGTCAAAGGTTGTCTTGAAAGGCCGTCTAGGTCCTGGCATGATGATAACAGTTGATTTGCTTGGTGGTCAGGTTAGCACTGCCTTATTTTCTTATTTGGCTTGGTCCACTCTTGAACACGGGCACATTATCTTCTAATGGATGTTTGTTCCTGCAAATATTAATATTGATTTAAATATTTGTCCAACTTAGAAAATTTCTTTTATTTGCCACAATGTTCCCTGTCCCCCAACATGATATAAAGTCATTCATTGAATCACATTGTTTGCCCAGAATTCCCCTCTAGAAAACACACTGCTAGTTTGCTTCCAATTCCTTTTTGCCTTTACTATTAATACTGAATTTTTGTTAATGAAGGTAGTTTTTTCTCTTTATTCTATTGAATTTAGAGGGGGAGAGCTTAGGGAAAG